GTAGGTGCAGCCCATTCTTTCTCTGGGCTCCTGACTGCTGGCTGTGCCACCAGTGCCCTCCTCTGGTATTTGTGAAGGCAGCATAAGGAACACAAAATACCTGTTGGATACACCCTGCGCAGGAAAGCTGGACGTGCGAGGGAGTGACTGTGCTGCAAAACCCTCTCACTCAATCACATACAGTCACTTTTGTTCCAGAAACAAAAAAAACACGACTATTGTCATTTTCCAAATCCATCTGAGAAAGTGACTGCTCATAAATGAAGCAATAATTATTTCCCTCTCTGTTCCAGGTTGTTCGGCCATCAAATCACGCTACAATCCAGAGCATCGTAAAAGCAGTGGGAATCATTCCCGGCATCCCAGAACCCTGCTGCGTTCCTGACAAAATGAGCTCCCTCAGCGTCCTCTTCTTAGATGAGAACAAAAACGTTGTTTTAAAGGTCTATCCCAATATGTCGGTTGAAACTTGCGCCTGCCGATAAATTCATACCAACGCATCTCCAAGGAGACGTACGCATCCTGCCCGCCTACACGGGGAAAGGTGTGACTGGGAGATGAATCCACTTGTGGGGATGAATGAACACAAACCTACAATTTCTCCACGGAAAACACGCGGAGAGACTAAAACCATACTCCTTCCCACCTGGAAGGATATGGCTCCCTGTCATCATTTGTCTTTCATATTCTTCTTCCAGGAATTCAATACTTTTACAAATACTTTCCTAACCCACCTAGCCAAGACACCTGGTGTTTAGTGAGAAATTTAAGTTTAAAGTTTTCCATAATCAAAGGACTAAAATATGTTTTTATACGCTATTTTTCTGACTATATTTCTCTGGCTATTTTATCTCTTCAGTTAACCAAGAAGATGGGAAGTGAACTTGGAAAGGCAGCCTTATTTTAGAATATCACTTTTGTACACAAATCAAAACTTTTTTGCCTAAAACACTCATACTCTTAATCTGCATATTTATACTGAAAAAAATGCTGTAATAAAGGGCTTAAAATGTATATTTTCTTCAGGACGCAAGTATAGTGCACTGCATATGCTTTCATATAAACAGTATGTTAATATACCCTTCCCTAATATATAATTTGTACTACAAAAGACATATGTAATATCCCACACTTTTGGTTTGCTGGATAATTTCAGATTGTTAAACATATTCTCTGAGTAACACATACTATATAGTAATATGTTGAAATACTAAAAATAAAATAACCAAGATTTATATTTTTGTAAATTATACATTATATCCTCTAGATTGTTACATGCTTTTAACAAAAGCTAATAAATTAAAGGTACAGTAGTATCTAAAAACAGTTGAATTGTCTTTCTCTGAATGCACTCTGTTACATTCTGTTAATTAGATGGAAACATGTAAATACATGTTAAGCTTGTGATAATGCACCTCAATAGATTAAAGTCGAGAGGGAATAGTGTGATCATCTAGACCGCCCTCCTGCACAGCACAGATCAAAGAACCTTGCCCAGTAGTTTCTGTTTTGAGCTTGGGAGTATCTTTGCAAAACATGCATAAATTTGGCTTTAAAGACTTCACGTGATAGAATATCTCTACTGGACTACACGTAGTTGTTCCAAAAGTTAGTGCTCTTTGTTCAACCGCAGTGGTTTAATCCTAGTCTGAATTTGTTGAGCTTTAGCTTCAATTCACTGGATCTTACTGTAACCTATTTTGTTAGATCCCTTTCATCTATTATCCAGAATACTTTCATTGTGTATTTTTAGTATATAAAGCGGGGTCAAAATATATTTTGGCTAAGATTTAAACAGGTACTTTGATTTTTTATTCTAAGCCTCAAAAAAATTTCTCACAGCTCTTTTCCAACAATGAACATCAAAAAGGGACACAATATTTGGCAGTGGTTCTGTTAGAAGATTTCATAGAAATAAAGTCTCTGCATCCCTTTAACTCCTGTACAATCCTCTGCTGATACATTCATGGTAGCCCTTGTAACTTCAGCACTCCTTTAAGAGCTAATGATCCATCGTTGTGCCTGTCAATCCTCTTTCTCAGTATCTCTTTGTGCCAGGACACACTTGCCATATATTCCATTTTCTGCCACCTCCTTGTACAAAAGCAGAGGCAGACCCAGAGCAGAACAAACTTCTGAAGTCTGTGAGGTAGCACAGAGTGCAAGATAAGCAGTGTTTCCTCCTCAAGAGACAGTCTAACCCTCTGGACTATCTTATCCATTCCTAGTCGTATTGTTTAGGGGACGGATACTACACACACTGCCTCCTGATGAATGACTAACTGGAAGGCTCCGATCCTGCTAAGGTGCTAGGCAACTTCTGCCACCAATATTCCACACTCATCTGGTGCAGATTCTCAGACAACAGAGGTGTGTAAATGTGGTACTTCCTGCTAACCTATATAAAAGTTACTATTGGCAAACACTTAAAATAGCAGCTCAAAATAATTCCACTAACTCATCCTAAAAAAACTTGATGGTATATTAATTTAGGATAATTAAAACCAGATAAAACAGGAAAACAGCTGATACCAGCCAACAAAGTGTTAAGGACATTTTTTTCTAAAACAAATCCAATTTCATACTTTGAGGCCACAGTTTCACTGCCAGAGGTAACAGCAACAGCTAGAATGTACTTAAGTTTTTGTGGACTGTATCAATTCACTCGCACAAGGCTGCATAATTAACAGAAATCACTGGACAATATTAATATATTTGTGTATCACATGAATTAAGGACTGTCTCACTGCCAAACCTCAAAGAGCAGCTTTCAAAAGGAATTGCCACTGAATGAAACTGTTCATTGTAAAGTTTCCGCAAAGCTGACACTTGGCCTGACACTATTTGACATCTTCATATATGAACTGGAAGTCTGTATTTAACAACCCCCACAGCATTTCCAGAAGACAGTGTTTAGGAGAGAGGTATTTATATAGATGACTTGATTTAGCTGTGCTTTATGTAATCAAAATTCATTTTAAGGTGGGCAGATGCAGAACTTAGTACCTAGGCACGAGGAATGGAGGCTGTTCCCACTGAGTAAAAGATTGAACCCATAACTCTTAAAGCCATAATTCTTAAAACAATTTTGGTGGATAACAGGAACTTACGGCACACTATGAGCGTTCAAGGTGATGCTATGTAAAGAGAGCTAATGAAAGCTTTCCAAAGATACACACGGGAGTAGTGAACCACACAAGGAAAGGAGATTTTATTTCTGCACATGGCACTGGTGGACTCCCACTAGAACATTATGCAGAGCCCCAGTGTTCACCTTTTCAAAAAGACATTCAAATTCTGAAAAAAAGCACTAAAAAGAAACAAAAACAGTTAAGAAAATGTCTTCTAATATGACTAAAAAGCACAATCTGTGTATTTTATCAGAAAGTAAACTGAGAAGTAACTTGATTATACTGTACAAGTACTTTGACGGAGAGAAAATGCCAGTGCTATGAGGCTCCTTAAGCCAGGCTGGAAGGGAGGAGGACTCCTGTCTAGAAGGTGAAGCCAGGCACAATGAACTAAAAAAACCACATTATTAAGTGTGACAATCTCTTAGACTAAGTATTACAGAAATCAAAGAAATCTTTGATTCTTTGACATCTTCAGACAAATTCTGGAGACCCTTAAAAAGTTCTGGTTTAGCCAGTCACGCATGCAAGTAGGAAAAAAACAAAGTCCTTGAGTAAAACAGTCTTGCTCTGCAGGAGACCAGGACCCTTTCTGACTTTACACCATAGGAACATAATTAACCTGGATCCCAGATGTCACTCGAACAGACACAGAAGTGAGTATTTGAGAAGTCTGGGCTCACTTTAAATACTGTATATGCACTGCGAGAAAATGGAAGAAGAATGCCCAGAAAGGACAAGATCTCCTCATCTCTGCAATGAGATTTTTTTTTTTAATGTAAAAGCTGATAATGCTATTCAGACTTTATGGCACGTGTACAGAATGGATTGAGTTGGCTTAAGAAATATGAAACATTATTGGTATGGAGAAAAAACTTATGCATCATTAGATTAAATCATAATGCATTAATTAAGATAAATAGCAAGTGATATTTTTGTCTATAAATAAACTAGGTTTTTTCCTTCTGTACCATGAGAAATTCTGTCATCAACCTTGTATTTTTGCCTTGGCTTATTTTTCTCATGGATAACAGTATCTTCAAGGACAATCTTCTGTATCTTCATGGAGACCTTTTTATTTTCCACGTGGCCTTAGAAGGCTTGGTTCTGTCTTCATTTTGAGGTCACTGAAATAATGACTGGTTGTTCTTGGACTGACCGTCAAGAATCTAAGAAATATATTACATAAGATACAATAAAAACAAGACTAAATTCCCATACACCAAAGGAATCAAACTGAAAATGGACAAGCCTGCAAACAACATGAAGCAAACTTGACACAAAACAGATATTTCACTGTGTACAAACAATAGCTCTTGGCTGATTAACGGAAAGAAGTTTTAAGGTTGTTTGTACTGTCATAAGATCATGTCTTGCAGAATCACAGGTCTCCACCAAATGATGGGGGATTTTCTGATGGCAATTGAACTGACCGTAATAAAGATTTGTGAGTTGTTATTTAATAATAGCTAATAGAGTAATTTTGTTCTAGATCTGTATTTTCTAGTCTTGATGAAAACTGTGTAATCATCTTTTACGTCCCTAAGAAAGCTCCTCTCTGTGTTGGCAAGGAAATGACAAAAGAGTGTAATTAAGCAATGATGACCCTAAAGTGAAATGTGGATTCTTTACAATATACAGTGTCCTTCCCACCAGCCACATGTGTTTGTCAGATGTTTATAGAATCTTCATTAACTAAGAGCTTTGCTAGATAACAGAAGCTGAAGCATGGCATCAATGACTCTGATAAGGGCAAGTGTACAACCAATCTGCTTGACAACTGACAAGAGGCTGGGGTTTGAAGCAGGCTGCAAAAAGAACACAAGAAAGTGATTTGCAAAGGGCATTCCAGTTGTTTGCCTTCCATCTCCTTTCCTCTGTCTGTAATGAAACAAGATTTTTAAGCAGTTAAAATACCCTTGTCCTCTTGTGGCTCCACCAGAAAGTAAATACAGAAGAAATGCATTATTTTGGAGTATTAGCTGCACTCTCTGTTTTCAACATCATTGCCTGCTTGACAAGAGGCAAGCCTTTGGAAGACTGGGAGAAGTTCTCAGTGATTAGAAAGTCTGATGCACACTTTCATGATCCTGGGGAAGTGGAAGATGAGACTCATTTTGACTTTAAATCTTTCCTGGAGAATATGAAGACGGATTTACTGAGGAGTTTGAACTTATCAAGAGTCCCCTCACAAGCGAAGACCAAAGAAGAACCACCACAGTTCATGATTGACTTATACAACAGATATACTGCAGACAAGTCCTCCATCCCTGCATCCAATATTGTAAGGAGCTTCAGTATTGAAGGTAGGAAAAGTCCTAAATAGGTGGACTAGAATTTTTAAAGATGTACATGGACAGTAGGTACTCAGATTCTTTTGAAATTCAGAGGGAACTGAGTGCCTAACTTCCACAGATTCTTTAGAAAAGAAACAGATTAAAATTTTGGATTGTAGTCTTGCTCTGCAGTTTCTTTCAATCTTTGAAAAAATGCAATTACCTTTAGTTTTCTTCTTTGGCATTTTTACCGTACAATACTGTCTTCTCAAACCCATCTACTGAGATGATGCACTGAATAACAGAGTTTATGTGAACCATGTTTCTCAAAGCTAGAGATTTGGGACAGAGTTTTAATGTTAGAATACAAATTTTTTATCATCTATAATTGAGACATCCATGCTCGAGAGCTCATCTTTCAGGTGTGCTCTTCTCGTACTTAAAAACCACAGCAGCCAACTTATAAATGTGTCTCTGTGCAAGTAACAGCAGTGCTCCCCCAAAATTCTGCTTTAGATGGAAGGATTTCTATGGAATGGGGTAGTCAAGCTTTTCTCAACTAAAAAAAATACAAGATCCCTGCCTGGTAACATTTAATAGAGTTTTAAAAGCTCCATCAAAAGTAAAAAAGTTCAAAGTAAATGCAATCCTTATGATAAAAACGAGACAAGAAGAACTGAAGCTTCTGTTTATACAAAAACCAGACAGACACAGGTAACAGCACTATAGGGAACTCCAGATTCCCAAATCAGTGCTCCTAGTCCTGAAATGGAAAGAAACCTTAACAGTATGAGCTAGATAATACTTTCCATATCTGACTCTCCTCTCCGACTGCTTTAGAGGGGAAACACTGTGAAGAAGTATCAACATTAGCCAACGAAAATTGCCCTAAAACTCAATCATGAATGAGTAATTATCTTACATTGACTATCAAACAGACATCAGTCAGTGATGACTTTTAAACATCACCAATCTGACTTTCCAGACAAACATCTGCCCCTCTCAAGGCAGAGTTTCTGGTACTGCACATACCTTTGCAGGAAAAAAAAAAAAGAAACCAAACAAAACCAACACAAGGTCAGTGAGTCCAAACTGGAATGGACTGGGACTGGGGCATGAAAGGCTCTTTCCCACCAAGTCCCAATTTAGGCAGAACCTGAAGCTTCAGTTCAGGATTTTCAAAAACATTTCTATTTCCCAAAACTCCCAGTATTTCAAGCTGCTTTCAAAGTTATCTGAAGACAACAAAAGCCTCAGCACAGCTAGTTCTTAGAGACACTTAAATGTGTAGGATACGTCTCTGTATTAGGAGGGCAGTTCATCCCATTGCATGATGATAAGAGTAGGAAATTCATAGGTTTTTTTAAGTATTCTTTGTGCAAAAATCTCTTTAGAAATTGCTAAATCTGAACACTTCCCAGATGCCTTATTTATGTACTCAATACTGACCAGCATCATCCACAGCTTGTTCTAGGCAGACCCTTTATTCTCCCCTCCAAATAGTCACCTCACCACGCAATCTTGGTGAAAATACTACCAACATCAGGGACCTCCATTTTCAATTTTCACTCCCTGCCCTTGAAACTTGGCCAGAAGACGGTATTTTTTACTTATTTTTTTAAATTGAGTGATCATGCTTTTATTTTACCCCCCCTACCCCCACAAAATCCTGAGTCTTTTCAAAGCAACTTACTTGGACAGTGAGAAGCACTGTAACCACGTGTTTTAATTTCCTATTGCAGATGTTGTTTCTTTAACTTCACCAGAAGAAAATCCATTTCAGAAACACATCTTGCTCTTCAACATCTCTATTCCACGATATGAGGAGATCACCAGAGCTGAACTGAGAATTTACATCTCCTGTCACAGCGAAGTCGGGTCTCTCTCTAGGCTGGAAGGCAACATGGTCATTTATGATGTTCTAGATGGTGACCACTGGGAAAACCCAGAAAGCACCAAATCTTTCCTTGTCTCCCACAATATACACAAGTGTGGCTGGGAGATGTTTGAAGTGTCAAGCGCTGTGAAAAGATGGGTCAGGGCAGACAAATTGAAGACTAAAAATAAGCTAGAGGTTGTTATAGAGAGTAAGGCTCTGGGTGGTTTCACTTGTGGGAAGCTGGATATCAGTGTTACCCCTGACACTAAAAATCTGCCCCTGTTAATAGTGTTCTCCAATGACCGCAGCAATGGGACAAAAGAGACCAAAGTGGAGCTCCGGGAGATGATTGTTCATGAACAAGAAAGTGTGCTCAAGAAATTAGGGAAGAATAACACTTCATCTGAAGAGGAGGAACTGGGAGAGGAAAAGGCCATCACTGGCCCCCACCAGCATTCCTCCAGAAGCAAGAGAAGCATCGGAGCCAACCACTGCCGGAGAACTTCCCTCCATGTGAACTTTGAAGAGATTGGCTGGGATTCCTGGATCATTGCACCAAAAGATTATGAGGCTTTTGAATGTAAAGGAGGTTGCTTCTTCCCTCTGACAGATAACGTTACCCCAACAAAACATGCTATTGTCCAAACTCTGGTGCATCTCCAAAACCCAAAGAAAGCTTCCAAGGCCTGTTGTGTTCCAACCAAATTGGATTCAATCTCCATTCTTTATAAGGATGATGCTGGGGTGCCCACTTTGATATATAACTATGAAGGCATGAAAGTGGCAGAATGCGGCTGCAGGTAGTATACAAGGCAGAATCACAAAAAATAAGAATACCCCCTTTTTCTGCTCTGTGTAAATCTGTACATTAGTGACGCACATCAAAATCCTTGCAAACCATGTTTGGAGCAGGTATGGGGCTGGTTGTTGTTGTTGCTGCTTGTTTTAAAGGAAGACTGGCATTTAAAGAATGGCAATCATTGTAAATAGCCTGCATTATATATCATGGCAAAGTGAATACTGGATTAAAATATTGTGAGATTGAATGAACTATGCATTATTGGGGAATGGGGATACGATTTGAATACCTTATGTTAGCTTTTCTCTTTAATCGATTCTGTTCAGGTCACAAACTAAAGGATTTTCAATGAGGATTTAGGATGCCCTTTAAATGTTTAACAGGTATTGAAATCTAATTCTCTCAGCCAACTCTGGTAAAACTCAGTAAACAGAATTTAGTCTGCACAGTAAAGTCAGGAATCAAAGTCCTGCAAACCTTTTCTCATATCAGTAATCTCAGAGGCTTTTACAGGCAAATTATTTACTCCTGTAAGTGAAGATTTGCAGTAATCAAAACAGAAGAAACTCAGAGTCTTATTTCATACCCAAGTTTCCTTCTGTGGGTAGCAGGTGCCTTGGTTTCAGCTTTCTTATCCTTAACGTCCCTATTTTTACCCCTTTATGGCACATACTTGAATGATAAGAAGTGCAGCCTTCCGCTTCTAAGACGCTGTTTCCTAGGAGGAACGGCAGCCCTTATCTCCGCACAGAGATAGGGAGCCACTTTGACCTACTGCATATTCTTAGTATTTCTTTGCAAGAACATGCAGTCAAACGACGTCCAGCCTTAGAAGCTGTATCCTAAGAGCAGTGGGGGCTGGAAGAGCTCAACACTTGTGAAAAGGCCAGGCTACTTTTCAGAGGCCTAAATATGTTCCTTGGAGTCTGACATTAGGCTCCAATTTTTTAAAAATTTCTGCTTAGGAGAAACTCTATTTTACGTACAGAATTTTTTCAACACTTAGAAGTCTGGGAAAAACTGAAAACTTCTATCTGTGTTCTAAGAGATTTACACTGCTCTATGGGAAATATACTATCATACAATAATTCTCCTAACTTCAGTTCTATTTTCACTGAACAAGGACTCCATCTTTCCTGCAATTAAAGCAAACTTCCTTTGATTCAAATGCAAGTTTTTCCTATACAAGAACAGACAAAGTGTCTTCTGTTGATTTCAGGTGATAGGTGTAAGTGCAGTACAATGCTACCACAGTCCACCCAACTTCTACTCCTCCACCACCTTATACACACAAACATAAAAATAAAAATCTATTAGAGAACACTTTTGATCCAAACCCAGGGAAAACTACACATCTATTCAAAATGGTGAAGAATATTGATGAGGCAAAAATCTAAACAGTAGCTTAATGTATGGAAGCAACAGGATTTAAATGGATACATATGTTTTAAATTAGGGCAGCCTGTGGGCAAGACGAATTCATTTGGCATGAACGGGTCAGCTTGAAACCTAATACAAAGTTTATTTACTATTGTTAACTTAATACAGAGCAAATAGCAGGTGAATGTGAGCAGGGTGGCTGTAATTCTATCAAGAACTACTGGTTACATCACAAACCATGAGCACAAAGCACGATTCACCGGAATCCTTGGACTGATTTATAGCCTTTTCCTTTAGAACTGGGCTGCAACTGGATCAGATCCAAGACGTGGATCCATGCAAACTCCATCCATCCATCGTTGCGTGTCATTAACCTCTTAAGCTTCCTCTCCTCTCATTTTACCACTCCCCACTGTCTCCTGTCATTTTACAGTCATGGTTATGTCTTCCTTCTTTCAGAACCCCCTGTATTGTCTCCCTGTTTTGTTCACATCTCCTAAGCTCATGACATTTTGCAAAACTTCTCTTCATCAAGGAAAAGAAACCACCGAACTAGCACTTGGTGTGATCCCATTAGAAAAGTTATTCACCCACGTGTCAAGGTAATTGTAGCTGTGTGCCCTTAAGTCATCAAAACACAAGGTCTTAGTTATATTTTGACTTCACTGAATACAGGACTTTGTCCATAATTAAATGAAAGAGTGGGGAAGGGGAAAGAACAGTCCCCACACACTCAGAGAGAAATTCTCAAGAATCAATTTATCAATTTTTCTTTTTTTTTTCCCCACATTCTCAAGTCAAATGTTGATCTTTGTTCCCAAGCTAATATGGAGGAAAAAACAATACAAAACCCAACAAAAACCCAACCCAAAGCCATTTCTGGCTCAAAAACTCAGATCCTAGCTATGCTATCAGAATTCCAGAGAAGCTCTACAGATCCTGTCCCAAAACCGGACTACAAGTCGCTTTTGTATTTCAACAAAAAAAATCAATTGCTCTTCCAGCCAGCTTTAACGATCACATTCCCATAGGCTTAAGATTTTGGTTGGTACGGTAGTAAAACGAAATATGAATCTTTCCATAAGGTGATGACCAGGGTGAAGAAGAAATGAGAACCCAGTAGTGACTACAGATGCTACCTACAGCATGGCTGAAGTGCGTGTCAAATTGATGTTTGGTTTTACATTATAAATTTAGCAGCTTCATTTATGTAGTTTTGAACATTTCATTTTAAACAACTGCCCGAGTTGGGGGTGTCCCTGCTGACTGTGGGGAGGTTGGACTAGATGACCTTTGGAGGTCCCTTCCAGCCTGGACAATTCTATGATTCTATGAGTTCCCTCACATTTTAACCGCTTTGGGATGCAACGAATCAGGCAGGTGGCGAAGATGTGCTAGAGGATATACAGGGTGCCAAAGAGCAGGCAAAGCATCTTGCCCCTTGCTTCAAGCTGGGCACCATGAGACACTGAGAAAACCCTCTCTCATCACCAGATTCTGAACATCGACCTCAGCTACTGAGGTGCAAGTTGGGGCCTGTGCATTGTCCAGCAGATGCAGTTAAAACTGAAACTTATTTAACAAAAACTGCCTGCCTCCTCAGGCCCATTAGCTATCTGTGTAACAGCCCTGTAACATCAGAATCGCCAGCTGACTCCACAGCCAATTTTAAGGCTACCCTATAGCACTTCAGTCTTAATAGATAAACATGGTGGAAGCTGGTCAGGAGACATAACTGTGGGTGTTTTTACATAGCTTCCCACCTTGTCTGTATAAACAGGAGGCACAATGCCCTCTGACCTCATCCACTCCTCTGTGCCATATCCCAACAGAGAACAGCAGATGCGACTCACCACTTCACAACACAGCACCAGTTATCATAAAAAGTCAAAAAGATCTCCATTTTCACTAGTCTTTTCCATAGATGAAGACCCAATGGCCTCACAGGAATCTGCAGGTGTTCAGCTGGTATCTGCCCAGACACCTTTATACCGGAAAGATCCTGACAATACAGAAATGTTAGGCTAGAACTGCCAATTCCTGATATTCAGCTTTTAGGCTGCCTCTCAAGGAGGCTTATCATTTCAGATGCGATTGGGCTCTAACACAATGAATGTTGCTCCCAGATCACAGCTGATTCTTCTCTCCAGCCTCCTCGGAGCCTGGCCATCACCAGGCAGGTAACGCAGGTTGGGTGATGGCCCCCACGCACCATGCAGGCCCACACAGGCACACACTATGAGCTCCAGGAGGTACCAACACTTCGCTGTAGCTCCTCATATGCAGCACTGCATCAAAGTTTATTACCGCAAAGAAGAGCTGAAGGGTACAGAGGGGAAACACAGACCAAGCTGGCAAAGCCAAAAAGGAGTAAACAACTGGTGCGTCTGGGGCAAGGCCCCACCCTCAAACAGTGTAAGGTCAGCGGCAGGTCTCGTCTGGCTGCTCGAAACAGCTCATAAGAGCACCACATCTAACTACAACCCTCCCCCCCGTGTTAAGTGGCCCACGTACCGTTTATTGTGTGTTTAGCACAGACATAAACAGGGCGGGTCCCTCGGCTGTCTCTAGGGAGGAGAGGGCCTCAGAGAGCTCTGCCCGCCCCTCTGCTGGGCGGGACCCTCCCAGATGGGCGGGACTGGACCCTCCCAACGCCAGGTGTCTGAGGCGCAGATCTCCTCAGAGCCGCCACGGGGCTGATCGGGGCTCACAAACCGTCTCAGAGCCATCTTCAGCCTTCAATGTTTTCTCTCTAAGCCTCGGTGCTTCCTTCACGCCGCCTCGGGGCCATCGCTGGGCCGTGAGGCGCCTCCAGCCCGCTCCTGCCGCACTGTCTCTGGGCTGTGAGGGCTCTCGTGCTGCCTCAGAGCCATATTCGGCCTCTCTAAAGCCTTTAGTGTTTTTTCTGTAAGCCTCGGTGCCACCGTCGGGCCGTGAGGGGCTTCCAGGGCGCTCCCGCCGCAGCGTCTCTGGGCTGTGAGGAGTCTCGTGCTGCCTCAGCGCCATATTCGGCCTCTCTAAAGCCTTTAGTGTTTTCTCTCTAAGCCTCGGTGCCATCGTCGGGCCGTGAGGCGCCTCCAGCCCGCTCCCGCCGCACCGTCTCTGGGCTGTGAGGGGTGTCGTGCTGCCTCAGAGCCATATTCGGCCTCTCTAAAGCCTTTAGAGTTTTTTCTCTAAGCCTCGGTGCTTCCTTCATGCCGCCTCGGTGCCACCGTCGGGCCGTGAGGGGCTTCCAGGGCGCTCCCGCCGCAGCGTCTCTGGGCTGTGAGGGGTCTCGTGCTGCCTCGGCGCCATCTTGAGGCTGCCTGGTGCTTCTGCGACAGATGTGTGCCTCACTCGCCAGCCGTCTTTCTACACTCGTTTTCTTACTCTCCCTCACAGCGTACCTTAAAATCCTTCAGTTTAAAGGTGCCTCTGCCTCTGGGCACAGCCTTTTTTGCCCTCTCCACGCCTCCGAGCTGCCCGGCTGCCATGTCTGTGCTGGCTGCTCCTTCCAGGCTGCCTCAGCAACATGTCGTCCCTCAGACCTGCCTCAGAGGGGCTTCTGTTGCTTTTTTGTCCTCTCCCTTAAAGCTTCTGCTGGGCCATCAGTCATAATTGAACTAAAATCCTCACAGGAGAATGGCTTCAGTGTAGCCCTGGAAAATGGGACGCCCAGAGACAGTCCCCTCACAGAGGCATATGATTTGGCTGGAGCTCGGCAGACCCGCCATTAGCCCTCACAAAAGCCTTGACACTGGCCCAACTGAAAGTTCTTGATACAGCAATGAGAACAAACTTCACAACAGCAGGGCCAAGGCATGTTTGGGCAGTTCTCAGAGGTGTCTGGCCTCAGCAGGAATCAGTTTGGTGGCAGCCATTAGGC